ATGTAGTGGCGGCTAAAATTGAGTTGATCTTTTTGCTTCTGAATATTTATCAGGAATAATGTATTGATTATTTTTTTTTCTCTTACGCTGTCAAAAACAGGTTTGTGCACTGTAGTTTGAGATGGTTAGGCAAAGGTTTGTCTTGCTGTAGCTTCTGTTTTGCCTGTATACTTGATCCATATTTAGTGGTAGGTCTTATTTGTTAGGGTGATGGGGTGGCGGGTGTATTTAAAAAAAAAAACATTAACATGTGACCACGTCAGTAAAACGAATGCAAAAAATGAAGAACCCTGGTATTCATTCTGTACCGTTCTAGTTACGCACATAGACGACCATGTTTCAGTGCTGAATGCATGGAGACCAGACATCTACAGTATGTGATGATCACTTCCTGCTGTATCACAAATAAACCCATTTTCTGTAGGACCAGTCTCATCAGTTTGGACCCATGTTACTTGTGCAATTGACATGTACACTATAGGGACACATCTTATGAGAGCCAATAGAATCCTTTACTGGCTTCACAATTATATTAATGGTCACCTTTGACCGACATTGTCAGACATTGGAAGCTCCAATGTGGTATAATTGTGCACTGCAAAGTTGTAGTAACAAATTCAAACATAATTTAGATTGACGACCATCACCTTACGTGACATCATGCGAAATGTATTTGTGATGACGCCGCAGGACGCCTCCAGTGCCAAATAGAAGTGCGGTGATAACTTCAGAAGAGGAAAACAATAAAGGAAAATGACTGGCTGCTCACTACAATTTCAGCAGCTCCATTGTTTAAATATAAATGACATGGCACAAGCGAACTTTGCCAAGGAGATGCTAATCACATGATACTGTGCGAACACCATCCAAGGCATTACCTCACCATGTAAATCAGTTTGAGATCATTTTAATTTGATCGTACAGGAGTACACTTCTATTTATACTTGTACAATGATTGAGGATGTTAAAAAATACAGACAAATACAGATTAAACGTTGCTGATGTAATTGAGAAAGATTTTATGATAGCAATTTGAGCTTGGAGCAGAGTGATTCAATTGAATTGTTGATGACTGATTGGTGTTATCCTCATGCATCATTCTTAGCAGAGTAGCGAAGTATAGTTTATATTTTGGCAATCACACTTTGGAAAACTACAAGCACGTACTGTACATCCCTCTGTGCCTCTCTGTACTGTTCACCATTTCGTTACTGTGACAGACTCCTGCCCTTAGAGGGCAGTCTAACAAAACAACAATAACACTGAGCTATAAAAGTACATGCTGTACTGTATATAACTCTTTTCCATGTTCTTATTATTACTAGGGCGATTTGAATTTAGATTCAAATACTGAATTAATAAATACGAGAATTTTAAAAAATGTATGTCTTATGATGGATCAATTACTCATGCAAAAAAGAGATAAGATACATACTAGCTGTCTAATGAAGAGCATACAATTACTGTATATGTAAGAATTTGGACTGTAACGTTTTTAAATGATTGAAGAATGATTCAAATTCAAGGGCCATTAAACTGACTCTCACATTATTAGGGTCTCAAAATTTTGAAAGAGATCTTAAGTTTAAGATGAACGACAATAGACGATCACATAAAGCATCATGATAATAGAGTCAAACATGCTCAAATATTTTTAGATCTGGCCGTTTCTCAAAACGTATGCTTGTTTTTTTTTTTTAATCTGAAACACCATGACATTTTTTTTTTGTACAGACCAAACAAACCGTGGCAAATTACATTAAAATCAGTACGAACGTTGACATAGTCGCTACTGTTATTTCACGTAACTGATTTTTTTCATGCGATTTTAAATGTAATATTTTTCTTCATTTTATTATTGTCGGTTTTTTTCACGCGTCAATAAATTGAGTTAAAAATATGGGGAGAGTTGACTCATTATTTCGCAAGTAATTCAATGTTTGGGGGATCATTTATAAGTGGGTCAATTAAAAAAAAAGGAAAAAAGTCCTCGTGTGTGTGCTTTGCTTTCGTTGTTGTTGTGTTTGCCTGAACAGACTCTTCTTTCTCTGATTAAAAAGACAAATAGAGCAGGCGGAGAGGGAAGCATTTTAGCATAACTTCCTTGTGGAGGTGAAATATTAACCATTAGTCTGGAGCACTTTTGGAGTGAACGTGTGGGCATACGGAAACATATTTCGGCCCCCTAACAGATTTCGGTCCCCTGTTTCATTTTGTGTTAAAGTTGAGAAAAGATAAAGAAATATTGTTTGAGTGAGAGCGAGCTGTTATGAAGCAAGAAGAACAACAAGATACTGGATCTTCAGGCAGAGCGGGTTTCCACGAAGCAGTTTGGCTGGCTCGCCCTCTCTCACGGAAGCACGCCGTTTGCAGCACGTTTCGAGATGGCAAAACAACAAGCTTGACGTGAAGGTTACGGAGTTCAGGAAGAAATTGTTTTTGTACTCGTATGATTTTGTCCTCACAATTCAGCGAACTACCAGAATGACAGGGGACGCCATAAACCAAATACAGTGTGTCTTTAAAGCGATGTATCACTACATACACGCATCGTGCATGCTGAAAAATTACAATTCAAGGATGGCACAAAACTGCTGAACAAGAAACTAGCATTAAGTATAACCCCCCCCCCCCAACACACACACACACACACCAAAATAAACTCACTCAAAATTTTAATATTATTGAGGTAAGATGCTAAATGGGCTGTCTCTGAAAAAGCACTTTTCTACCTTGGGTACTCAAATGGCTTTACACCGTTACTTCATTCACCTAATGATGACACAGGATCAGGAGGACTGGAGGTTCAGTATCTTCCTCAAGGACACTTGACATGATTCCCACCATCAACCACTCTAACAAGGAGCCATGCTGACCCGCTTGTCCTGCATGTCATACCAAATCTGCAAAAAAATATTAGGCCTGCTCACGTAAAAAGAAGGCAGTATAAGCTCAACTCCGACATGTCTGCCATCTAGCATTGATTGGTGATATTACAGCACAAAACTACACTCAATTCTTGCATCTTCACAGTTCGGTACCTGTGGCTTTGTATATTTTCAGACCTTTCAACACTTTGGATTGCTTCAAGCCACAATTATCATTGAAAGCAGTGACGTGTTATTATGCTGAAATTTGTCCTCTCAGAGTGCTACGTATGCCAACACGAGCCAGTGCCTTAGACTGTCGAAGTGCAAGGAGGTGAAGTCACAGAGCACTCCCAAGTAATCTTGAGGCCATCTGTGTGAAGGAGTGGAAGGTTCAAAGTCCAACCAAAGCACCTTAAATAAAGATTATGACCTGGTTGCTAGTTGTGAGTTATTATGTATCCACACGCTCGGTGAATGTGATTTTTCACTTTTGCCTTTCAGTGTTGTGTGATAAAGGCTCGCTAACCCGGTGTGACGGAGCCGATCAAACAACAAACTCGACAATACAGCATTCCGTGACATCGCATGACAGGAATTTCCTCATGTATTAAGTTTTAAACCACTGTTAAATGAAATAGAAGCACACCGTCGACTTGCTGCGGTTTGCATGGCGTGTGGCGCCTCTCAAGACGACCGGTACTGTAACACTGTGTGTGTCATTGTTAGTCATCTATGACAAAGCCAGAATAGAAAACCAAACCCTTTTTAATTGCAACTTTTATGATAATTGTAATGACCTTTGTCTTTTTTGGGGACTACAACACACGTCACACATCATCTGCTCCAAACAAATTTTGCTCACAAAACAGACTGACTGTTGAATTCATTCATTCATTTTCCGAACCACTTGATCCTCACTAGGGTCGCAGGGGGGGTCGTCTGGACCCTATCCCAGCTGTCTTTGGGCAGTAGGTGGGGGACACCCTGAACCGGTTGCCAGCCAATCGCAGGGCACACAGAAACGAACAATCATTCGCACCCACACTCACACCTAGGGACAATTTAGAGTGTTCAATCAGCCTGTCGTGCATGTTTTTGGAATGTGGGAGGAAACCGGAGGACCTGGAGAAAACCCACGCATGCACGGGTAGAACATGCAAACTCCACACGGGAAGGCCGGAGCTGGAATTGAACCCAGCACCTCTGCATTGTGAAGTCGATGTGCTAACCCTCGACTACAGGGCCGCCGACTGTTGAATTGTGATATGAAATTGTGAAAATAGTCCGCTCAAAAACGACCAGTAGCTTGTGTTGTTGCTGGTTGAGTGTTTTGTAAAACGTGTCTCACATGTCATTGACCACAGTCAAAATGAGAAAAATTGGTAACTGCAAATGCAGGCAGGTCATTTTAGTTTACTTTTTATTCGTCTTAGTATTAGTTTTAATATTTGTTAAGTGCAGGATTAAAAGTAGTGGCCTGCCAGTTGTGTTTCAAATTTCCATTTATAGGATATGGTTTTGACAAGTGGGAGGTAATAATAATACTAATATACAAATGAATCAAATCAGTACAAATAGTTACCACATCCACTTCACAGTGCAGAGGTGCAGGGTTTGATTCTGGCTCCGGTGTTCCTGTGTGTAGTTTGCATGTTCTCCCCGTGCCTGCTTGGCTTTTCTCCGGGTACTCCGGGTTCCTCCCACATTCCAAAAACATGCCTGGCAGGTCAATGGAACACTCTAAATTGTCCCTAGGTGTGAGTGTGAGTGTGGATGGTTGTTCGTCTCTGTGTGCCCTGCGATTAGTTGGCAACCGGTTCAGGGTGTCCCCTGACTACTGCCCGAAGATGGCTGGGATAGGCTCCAGCCCCCCCCCCCCCCCCGTGTGAGGATGAAGCGGATCGGAAAATGGATGGATGGATGAATTACTACAATAACTTCTGATGCACAACATTCAAATGTTCCACTCCTGTTCCAATTCATTCGTGTACTCCAAGGTGTTTGCAAGGTTTCCAGTTTTGCAAGTTGTTGTGTGCCTACGTGTGTGTGTGTGTGTGTGTGTGTGTGCTTTGTTCACACTGGTCCCTCCCATTCAAATCAGAGCAAGGGAGTAAAAAGGCACTCCAGTCTGTGATTGGCCTCCAGCGAAGCTCCAATCACTGCTGCACTCATTTCCACTTCACACTATGAGCTGGAGACAGCACGACTCGGGCTGGATCTAGTACCATTGTGACGAGATCTACTACCATCGTGACGGGATCTACTTCTGTTGATACACTAAATGAACTTTTGGGGCCTTTTTGTTTCATGGGATGGTAATGCTGCTTCGGAACGCCGAGACGTTTTGAATGAGGATGACCACGCTTGTGAGGAAGGGCCAACAGGTGCGGCGTGTCCTGCTGCTGTTGCTGCAGCCCTGCTTAGTTCTGCAACTCTGCAGTGCCCAGACACAAGGAGGTACGGTCGAACACACACACACACACACACACACACACACACACACACACACACACACACACACACACACACACACACACACACACACGCACACACACACACACACACAAGCACACAAGTTGTCAGCAGATGACCAAGTTTAGGTTTTTGTCGTATATTAGCTTTGAGATTGTGATGTACTTTGTCAGGGGAAAAAAAAAAAACACCTGTCCCGCCGCACAATCACAACCTGCTCTGCAAATTTCAAAACCTGTTTGCAATGAGCCACCTGCACCTCTCCCACAACTCTGTGGGGCGACGCTTATCTCACCTGTCACTCTTTCAAGATTCTGGAACACGCATAGAGTTGCTCAACACATTTCAACACACTCCGAAAATGCACAGCGGTTCTACATGTTTTGTTTTAGTTTCAACACCTTGGGAATGAAAACAATTTGCATTCATTTCATACATTTGTGGAACAATTTGAGTAATAGGCCAGGTAACAGATTACTAGCTAGCTAGCTAGCTAGCTAGATAGATAGATCGAACAGAAGATATAAAAGAAACATGACTTTCCTTTTATATTGCTATTTTTTCTGTTGACATTCATTTTTCATTTTAATATAAAAAAATAATTGAATCAACATTTATAGAACGTGTGATATAATAAATTATATGACATTTTTTTGCTATAAGAATTTTTTTTTCAAGTTTATAGCTATTTAACAAGATAAAGAACTGAATGCCATCATTTCTGTGTTTAGGGGCAACTTTAAAATATCTGTTTGTTTCTCACTTGACACTTTTGAACTTACTGTAATTCGCTCTACAAAGAACATCACAGCCAACTCAGATGGCACAAGTGATACATTGTATCACACCAAATCAGCCCAGAGGAAGTTCACGATACGTCAGCTCCACTGAGAGTGTTGTTGTGATTTGAATCCAAGAGAGACTCTGTGAACTTTGACCCCACCTACTTGTTACTGTCACCTGCTGCTTCAGACAACAGTGGCGCCCGGGACTGAGAAAAACAATGTGGTCAAAACAACATTCATCATCTCATCATCAGAATGTGGCAGCTGATGTTCAAATGTCAAGGAACAACAACAATGCCTCTCGCGTGTGACCTCCCCTTCGTGTTTAGAAAAAAACAATAACAACAGAGGAACTCACATCATTTAAATACATCTGAAGGTTAATGTCATTGAGGCCACAGTTCTCTTGGTCTGTTGTTAAACTGGAATTTACTGTGCAGTAAACAGGCCTGCTGTGAAAGACCTTTTTTTTTTTTTTTTTTTTTTTAATTATCACTGTTTTGAACCTGGCGGCCCGCTGTTTGAGTGCTTAGTACGTTGACCTCACAGTGCAGAGGTACCGGGTTCGATTCCACCTCCGGCCTTCCTGTGTGGAGTTTGCAAGTTCTCCCCTTGCCTGCGTGGGTTTTCTCCGGGTACTCCGATTTCTTCCCACATTCCAAAAACATGCATGGCAGGCTGATTGAACACTCAAAATTGTCCCTAGATGTGAGTGTGAGCGCGGATGGTTGTTCGTCTCTGTGTGCCCTGCGATTAGTTGGCAACCGGTTCAGGGTGTCCCCCGCCTACTGCTCGAAGACGGCTGGGCTAGGCTGCAGTACCCCCCGCCAACCTTGTGAGGATAAAGTGGGTCAGAAAATGGATGGATGGATGGATGTTTTGAACCTGTGTATGAAGCTGGCAAGAGTATTTACGAGAAGGCAGTTTGTTTTATTTCTCATATCTTGCTTTATGACAGCACAGTGACCTCGTGGTTAGCAGGTGTGCCTCACAATTCCGAGGTTCTCGGTTTTCATCTCAACTTTTCCGTGTTAGCTTGTTCGAAGACTCTAAATTGTATAAAGTATGTACCCGGTGATTGGCTGGTGACCGGTCCAGGGTGGACCCCACCTCACGCCCAAAGTCACCTGGGATAGGGTTCAGCTCACCTGCATTGTGGCGGAAATGTCATTCGTGTTTGTCTTTGTCAATGAATTTCATACATGAGCTTTCAGTTATTTTTTATTTTTTATTTCACTATTAGCGAACAGCAAGACAGAAGAAAGAATTGGTCTAGCACTCGTACGGGAATTGTAGTTTACTTTAATCTACGATATATAAACTAGTTTATGAAATAGTGGCTGGGGACTTTAATTTAATCAACGGCAGAGAGAATCAAGCGTTTAGTTTCGTAAATGCTCGTGTACGGTGAGAGTTAGGCACAAAAATCTCCATTGACTGGTGCCCAAAAAAGAGCTACTCCTGTGTTCCCTTGGGAATGGAAAGAACAACTGCCTCACCTTGGCAGATTGTATTTGTGTGTTGTTTATATTTTCGGTTCTAATGATGTGCACTTAGTTAGGTGCAGTTAATTGTTTTGTGCGTGAGTTTCCATACGTCATGAATCCAAGACATGTCTTCCTGAACAACAAAACGGCACCCAGTAGAATAATACTTTAGTAGAGCATCATGTTGGTGCCAAGTTGTCTGTGGTCTATTTAACTTTGCACTAGTATATCTGGAAAGTCGTACTGATGTGCTTTGATTTATTACTTGTTTTTTTTTTTTTCTCTACAGCAGATTTCTCATAAACCTCGTTTCTCTTCATCCGCCACCTGCGCCTTTGTGTGCTACGTACATTACAGAATGGAAGGAAAACTCCAAAACAACTAGCAGCAGGTTGCGAGGGCGAGCATTTACACATATTTGGATTTGTAGTTTGTCCTTCAGTTAACTGGCAAATGGCAAACGCTTGTCCTATGTTGCCATGCTGCACAACTCTAGGCAAACAAATCAGGCTGCAGTGAGGTGAACTGCCTTCTCCTTAGTGCACAGGTGTCAAATTCAAGGCACGATATTATTTTCTGTGGCTCAATAAGCTAATGTTTCTTGCAAAATGTATGCTTTTACTTTGGACCGAAAAGCTAAATCACACCGTTTCACAAGCACTTACATTTCACCAAATTCCTTCATAACATAAATTGGACAATACTTGTACACTGCATTCCAAAGTATCAGATTGATTTTCCAGGTAAAGTAGGCCTATATCAAATCAAATGTGTATATGAAATGACATGATGAGGTAATTATCGAGTTCATTTCTATGGTTTTCACAGTCATAACCGCCCTCCGTGAGAAAACACAATGTGGCCCCCGCCGAATATTATTTTTACATCCCTCCCGTAGTTGAAACTAGAGTAACGGTTTTTAATGCAGGAGGTCCTTGGTTTACAACGGAGTGCGTTCCTATGGTGACCTAACCAGGATTTGTACAAGCATATCGTCTATTAATAACACGAAAGCCGCCATTAAGTGATATTTCCAGTAAATAATTGGATAAAAAACACTCTAATCCATAAATATAACTCAATAAATTGAAAAACAGCCCAGAAACCTTGCTCACACACCTTGTTAGATTATATATTGTGTTTATCTCAAGATCTCAAATTAAGCACAGGCTACTACAAGCTATTTCAGGTCAACAATTATTAATTAAGGCAAATTGTTGTTGCTCCTGTTGCCAGACTTTGTGCTGTTTCGTAGCTGTCAGCTTTAATTTACCTGTTTCAATTACAAGTCCCGATTATCGCTGAGAATTTCCGTTTGTTTGCGCTCGCTGTGTGACACCGTGGCGCGAAACGGCGCCTGTGCTCAGGTGTCTGTGCATGTGAACTTGCTCATCGAGCAGTAATCTCTCGTCGCTCCGTGCCAAGTTTCTGTTTACCGCTCTCATTGTCTCAAGCGATTTTCCCGGGCTGTCATCACCTTCCTCCACTTATGTAGCTCTACTCCTTCCTGCTTTTCTCTCAAAACTGCAATCTCGGTAATGACAATGCGCAAACCCGATCTGCGGTGTGTTGGTTTACAGTGCAATTCTGAGGACAATGACATCCCTTTTTACGGGACGTCCACAGGCCCACTAAGGTTAGCGATGGACTGATCCGACAGAGAATCGAGTGTCAGCACTGGTGCACAGAGGTCGGCTGTGCGACACTGATGTGATACAATTTCTACATTTTTGAAAAAGGAGGCCATTGTTTATCTGTGTGCGTGTTGACTCTCATCCCTCCACCCCATTCCTTTCTTTCTCGCCCGCCATCCATCTGCCAGTGCTGAAAGTCATCCTTTGATTAAAAAAAAAAAAACCCACTCAGCCTGTTGACATTCTCAGCCTCCCCCAGTTGCAGTCTGTGCATTGTTTGCATGGTGCTCATTGTATTTATCTGCAACGCTGCTGGTGCTACTCTTTACATTTGCGTCCATTTGGAGTGGGCGGTGAAGTAATAAATTACAAAGAATTCATGACGGTGCTTATTAAATATATATATATATTTATATATATTTTTTTTAACGGTAGCTTTCTTACTTGGCTAAAAATGCTGGGTTGTTCTCCGAACCAACTCGCTGGGCAGCTGTGGATTTTGAGCACATTGGCTTACTTTTACCCAAGGTTGGATCAATTATTTTGGGGTGACTTCTCAGAAAATGATGGTAGCCAAATTACTATTATTATTAGTTCAGTCTTTTTTTGGGCCCAGCACTGGGTTGACTATTTCACCCAATTTGGGGTGACTTTTGACAAAGCAGTTTTAAGAGTGTATTTTGTATTTGATTTCTACTGCTGCTATGAAAAGAACATATTTGTTCCAAACGAGATGAATAAATTCTTGAAGAAAAAGTAACGCTGGTTATTATCTTCGCAAAAGATATCAGACAATTCCACATGGAGACATACAGATACTAGAAGGTGGGTGACCATATTGTTAATGGTTCGGATGCATCAAGACTCAGACAATTAGTTCCTCGAAGGGAAAACGCATACAGTTGGTTTCACACCTCCACCTTTCGCTATTGTTCTTAATCAGACAAACCGGAGTCGCTCTGGAAATATCTAAGTAGTGCCAAGTGATGATCAAAATTGAATACACGCTGTGGGTTACGCAATGAAACTTTCCATTACACTCCCTGTATTTACAAATTGATATCTGTACTCTCTGCTCCTCACTTCGTCAAAACAGGCTGAATATTTTGTTTTTCAAAGTCTGGGGCACAATGTAAAAAAAGATGATAAATTGAAAATAAGCACATTGTTTGGTGGTATGAAGGGACAACCCCAAGTTTTAGATCAACACAATAAATGGACACTTCTCATAACTTTACAGACCCATAGGGCATGTACGTTGCTCACACGGGAATAAATATTTTAATCCTTAGCCTTAATGAAAGGCAAAGATTAAAGTGCTTTGCAGAGTGATGCTGTTTACAGTACATTAGCGTCTGCCGCTTTCCATGTCACACTGGATCGCTATAGAATCTTCTCAGGCAAAACGATTCACATGAACTGATGCCATATAAAAAGAGACCTCAAATGAGGAGTTATCATCAGACAGTTTGTGTCTTCTGTGCTGCCTTGACATTTGGACAGCAGCCACGTGTTGGGATTCAATGAATGAATGAACCCCTCAACCCCATCAACACATAAGCAAGGCCTTGTGTTATGTTTTCTTGTCACAGCCGCACCCCTTATATACAGTCTTTATTGCAACAAACCATTCATACTGCACGTGCATGCAGCTCTTGCTTGTTTCCCTCATTTGGACTTATTGACTAACTGGTCAGATAATAGATGGATATCTCAAACCAATGTATTTTATTGGGTAATATTTTTTTGTTTAGAATATATGCATTAACAGAAGAATAAAAAAACAGACACAATGACTTTTCTTACCGTCACTTAACCATTACAACTGAAAATATATAAATACAAATATAAATACAAAATAAAAATGGAGATGTATCACACTTTTTGTCATTGCTCCTTTGTTGCCATAGTAATTGTTTGTGGCCAACATTGGAATTGAAGAGAACTATCTGTCATCTTTAATCTTCATTTTTCTATTTCTCCCCAGTGGTAGTTTGTAGCGGCACCCAAAATGATCTGAGCACAACGGGAAATTCCGAAATCCAGTATAACTTGATGCGGGAGAGGTACACTGGCTGTGAGATCGTCATGGGCAACCTTGAGATCACCATGATGGAACACACCAGAGATTTCTCCTTCCTGCAGGTGAGCCACTGAAAACGAAAAACACCAATTGGACACAATATTAGGTACACCTGCACAATACAATAATGTCTGTAAATAACATTTCCAAAGATGACAATGGTTTATTGTGAAGGGCACTGTCAGTGAGGTGTAGTTTATAGTTTAGTATATATTGAATAATATGGCCAGGTAATTTCTCCCAGCTAATCTGCAAAGAAAGCTAATGATAAGATTGAAAATTGAATGGGTGTATTAGTAGAGCTGTCTGACTTTGTTGCAGGAAGTATGGATTTATTTGCTAACTTGACATTGAGGAGAAGTATCAGTAAAAATTGCTGGATGGATAATTATTGTACTGTAAATATATGCAACGTGACAAAAATCACACCAAAGAAGTGTTCATAAATTTCTGAATTTCCAAGATTTTTAAATATATCATTACCCTAAAGGGGTTAATTGAACATTTTTTACATTGATAAAAATATGGCTTAAATTTTCCGATCTTTCAAGATTTTATCTTTTCCTCATAACCCTTTGATGTGGCCCTGCTTAAATCATACTACTGTATTAGAATATACTGCGGACCAATAAGAAATGTGAAGCAAGCCACAAATGGACCCCCGGACCAGACTTTGGACACTCACTTTATTTTGTGCACATGTACCTAATGTTGTGACCAGAGAATGTCAGTGAATGCCTCACCGTTTGATTTCTTTAGAGCCCAATGCCAACCAAATTCACAAATATTACCCATTAAATCCCATGCAGTCAATCAGGGAGGTGACAGGCTACATACTGTTTGCCATCAACGAGTTCAGCCGCTTGCCGCTGGACCACCTTCGTGTCATCAGGGGCACCACCTTGTACGAGGACCAGTATGCCTTGGCTGTGATGGTCAACTACCAGAAGGAAGGCCAGCACGGCCTGCAGGAACTGGGCCTTACACACCTCACAGGTACTCAAGAAAGTCACTTTGTTGTTTGGCGGGGGAACCTACAGTGTGTGCACAACATTTATCGAGATTTTGAATGAAATGTGAGCATCAGGAGCACAGTCAGTATATCTACATGTCTTGTTGGATGTGCCGAATTAGCATGGCCCTCATTACGCAAAAAACGTTTGGTTCATGTTACACTTTACATGTTTCAGTGTACTGTATATGTGAACGTGTAAAGCGTATTTTAGAGTGGATCTTTTGGTGTATTTTTGACTATGTTGGAACACGCAGTTTATGTTTGATTGTGTAGTGTATGTTTGAGTGCGTGTAGCACCGCTAGCAAGATTTGAATGTAGCCTCACTTCACTAATCCCGCCCGCCCTCGATTCAAAGCTTACTGACGTGCGCGAGCGTGATTCTCCAACATGACTCTTGATGATGGCATGCGATGAGGAAGGTGCATAGTTGTGATAGCTAGTCATAAAGAACGCTCTTCAGCTTCACTGAAAAAGCAGCGATGACAACATTAATGACAACATTAAGATAGCATTCGCACTGTAAATATGCTGACGTTAGCTATGGCTGCTATGTTGGGATCATGACTTTTTTGTAACAAAGTGTTTTTATAACTGTCAATGTTATCGGTTTGAAGTTGTATTTTTGGAATGTAAAATTAAATATCAAAAACACGCCAGCTCCCAGAAGGTACTTGCTCAGTTTCTTTTTGAAAAAAAGTTTTTTGTTTTTTTTTAACTGCTAACTCCCCTAAATGTTATGTTAGAATACACAGTACAGTATACAACGTGTATGAAGGTGTATGATAGTATATGTATTTCATAATGTATATGTTTTAGTGCAGGGGTGTCAAACTCATTTTTGTCGCAGGCCAGATTTTAGTTACAATTTCCCTTGGAGGGCCGTTAGGACTGAAACCATATAAAGAAGTCAAGAATAACGGTTTATTCACCTATTTTTTAAGTTTCTGTAATGAGGGGTTTGGTAACAAGAAAATGCTTACAGTATCAGTCTTATTTATTACAAATGAGAATTTGAAATTTTGGTTGAGATTTTAGCAAGCATCATGAAAGTTGACAACTTTGATTTGCTTTCGCAGGCCACATAAAATGATGTGGGAGGTCAGATCTGGCTCCCGGGCCTTGAGTTTGACACCTGTGTTTTAGTGGATGAATTTAAGTGCATCCGTTAAGATGTAAATTTTTATTTAGTTGACTCTTTTAGAGTGTAGATGTTTCATTGTAGATTTCAGAGTACTCTACAAGTTTTAGTTTAAGTGTACTGTATGTATTTCAGTGTGTGTTTAAGAGTACATGTGAGTGTAAAGTATACATTTGAGTGGATCGGTGTGAGTTGAAAGAGTACGTTTTGGTGTGTAGTAAAGAGTATGTCCGTTAAAGTATAGTATGCCCACAGTAAGTGTGGGCGGCCGTGCAGATAAGAGGCTGCTTGTTGGAGCTCCACACATTGCCGCGCCTTCAGCATACCTGTCGTTGAACAGCACGAGTATATGTGTGTGTAGTGTGTATTGTATTTGGTGAGGTCACAGCAATACCTCGTGTAAGCCTTTCAACTGCGTGTGAAACATGAGCCCTTGCCCATGTAAGTGTGTTTTCCAGTGCTGTAATGTCTAATAATGTCTGAGGCTGATATAATTGAGTCATGGGCATGTAGCGTCTCGTTATTTGTGTCTCATCATTTACATGCAATGTCTGCCACCCACAGAAATACTGGAGGGAGGAGTCAAGATCATCCAAAATAAGTACCTGAGCTACGCCCCACAGGTCATCTGGCAGGATATTGTAAAGGACGGGGCAGCGCCTATTATATTGGAGGACAATGGACCTGAAAGTGAGTGAAGAGTACTCCCAAATACAATCATCTGCTGTTTACCTGTAGAAGAGGTTTGTCATGGCGGTAAAAAAAACAATAAGATGATGTGCAGAAAGGTTTGTTCCTCAATGTCAAATCAGTGGTTGACTCTCCCAGGGGGGTGAGGTAAGACTGCAGGGGAATGCAGTAGCTTGAGGGAAAAAAAAATGGAAATGAGCTAAACTACTTCAGCTACAGTGTCTGTAAAAAGTCTACATGCCCTTGTTCCAATGCTTTTGTGATCTAAAAAATGAGACCAAGATAAAACATTTCAGAACTGAACATCTGAACTTTATTTGGCGTTAATCAAAGGCCCTTTGATTATTTTCCCCTCCGTTGTAACAGGGGGTGCAAGCTATTTTTATTCCCCCTTTTGAAAGGTTTGCTTTTTTTCCAGTTGAAAAGTTGCAGGTCCAATTAATGGTGGAAAATCTTATGAAATGATCTTAGAAATCTTGATGTGATTTTTTTTTTGTTATCATAATAATTTGGCATTTGAATAGGGGTGTGTAGACTTTTTATGCCAGCTGTACACACAGTTTGTTAATTATGGTACTGTATATTATTAAAACTTTTGCGTCGTGCACATAAAGGGAATAGTACAAAATGCAACAGTGTGAAGAATTTGATGAATTTTGGTGTCAGCCCAAATCTCTGACTTGAAACATCGCAAAGGCCTCGCAGTGATTTTTAACTGATATCATCTTAGCAGGAACATAGTTAAATGTGCTTTTTAGTGATAAAAGAAGCTAAGCCGTTTTACTTTCTCTCATGCCTCAATGCCTCTGTATGTGTCAGAGCCTTGCAGTGAAGCATGCGAGGACGTTCCATGTTGGGGTCCCGGAAACGACACATGTCAGATCTGTAAGTGACAACAGGGTAACATTACTTTTTTATGGTTGTTTGACTGACATGTTGTCTCAAATATGCTCCAGTGACAAAGACGGTGTGCGCACCCCAGTGCAATGGCCGCTGTTTTGGCAGGAACCCGAGCGAGTGTTGTCACAATGAATGTGCTGGAGGCTGCACTGGACCCCTCGACACTGACTGCTTTGTAAGTCGTTATGGTCGATGTCAAATTAATGATCAGGCAAAAACAATTGTTGCCTGTCCACAGAGGTGGACTTCATATGAGACAAACCTGAGATTTTGAAGGTCCACCAAACAAACGTCTATTAAATGCTAAAAATTACTTGATGATGTCACCCCCTCTCTTCTCATTCAATGGACTACAGGTATTCCATCTTTTTAAATCATTCAGGAAGAGGTTAGAAATGAGCAAAACAAACTTCTCGGCACATTGGAAGGAAAATTACGGGGAGTGATCTCAATGAAGTGAAGAAGACGATATAGTGACGGGAAAACAGATTTATCAATCCTACCACTGGTTTCAACCTTTTTCATGACATGGAATAGCTCATTTCTTTTTTTCCCACAAATTCACACATTTTAGTTGAAGCTAAACCTTAATATTTGAAATATTTACAGTGCAAATGACTAACGACGGCCATCTGTCCCATTTTGCAGGCTTGTCGGAACTTCAACAACTCGGGTTCCTGCGTCCCTCAGTGTCCTCAGACGGTGATCTACAACAAGCACACCTTCAAACTGGAGCCCAATCCCGATGCCAAGTACCAGTATGGCTCCATCTGTGTGTCCCAGTGTCCCAGTGAGTCTCAAGCAATCACTGGTCTATTATTTTCAATGCATTAGTGCCGTTTGTCTCTGAAGCTGACATGTTGTATGTTTTCATCCATATAGCAAACTTTGTGGTGGATGGCAGCTCATGCGTAAGCAACTGTCCCACCCATAAAATGGAGGTGGAGAAAAACGGGGTGAAAAGGTGTGAGCTCTGTGGAGGCCTCTGTCCTAAAGGTATGCAGTGCACTGAATGTCATAGAATGACTCTGATGTAAATACAACTTGAGATTTTTGCATTCAAAAGTGCTGTTTTATTAAATGTACAATAATGGATCCATGACAAGATCTGTAGCACAAAATCATGGAATCAAAAAAATGGCTCCATTCATTCATCTGGTCCACCAAGCATTTGCATTGTATTAAATCTGTTTAATTTAGACGTCTGTATTTACGTGTTACGTTTTCAACATCTACAGTATTCCTAAATTGAGATCGTTCCTTGCAGCTTGCCGCGGTACAGGAACTCAGAACCGACAGACGGTGGATGCTCTGAACATCGACAGTTTTATTAACTGCACAAAGATCCAGGGCAGTCTTCACTTCCTGGTGACCGGGATCCATGGGTAACAAGACTCTCCCTCCGCGCCACTGTTCGTGTCCTTATCTGCATGATTTGAAATGACATTTGTGTCTTTTCCGCCAATCAAAGTGACGATTACAACAACATTCCAGCCCTTGATCCAGAAAAACTGAAGATTTTCAACACGGTGCGAGAGATTACAGGTTTGTGTTTGTTCAGATCTCAAGATTCTTTAGCGATTGTGTTCATTTTTCTTCGATATGACCATGAACACACACAATGTAACATTTTCAGACATCCTCAGTATCCAGTCGTGGCCTGAAAATATGACGGACCTATCCGTGTTCTCCAATCTGCAAACCATTCAAGGCAGAACACTTTACCGGTGATTTTTTTTTTCCAGCTATGTTTTTATTCCCTTTGGATGAGATAACTGTAAATGTAATATCAAATGATGCACATTCTAATCAGTTTGTGTTTTCTTTTTTTCCCTCCTCTATCCCTTTAAAACCATTTAGAGGCGTGAGCTCGAGAAGGTATCGTAATATTTTCATGTACCTACATTTTTCGGGGTCTTAAATCTCATTTGGAATTTAATGTTTTGTTTTTTTATGGATCTCGCATCGTGTTGTCATTATTTTTCAGGGGCTACTCTCTGCTGGTGATGAAGATCCCGTCTTTGACCTCTCTGGGCTTACGATCGCTTCAAAGGATAAATGATGGAAGCGTCTACATCACAGGAAACAAGAAGCTATGCTACCACGACACTGTCAACTGGACACGTATCTTGACAAGTAGTTCTCGCCCGCAGCGACGCCAGAAGTACATTGATATTAAGGAAAACCGGCCAAGAAATGAGTGCGGTGAGTTGGTTTGGGTCAAGGTTAGGCAAAATATGGCTCAGGGGCCACGTATTGCCTCCTGCGCCCTTTAAACCGGGTCACCGAATATTTACATTATTACAATAGTCCTGTAATACTTCTTGTATTAATTGAGCCCACCTCTTTTACATCTGCCTGTTTAAAAAAATTTAAATGCGACAGAAATTTGCCCACCGGTACTTTAGCATTTCCTCGTGCAGCCTATTGACACAGTTTTGATTAAATTTATGTCTCTTTGCATTTCTGTACAGTTGAGATGGGCCACGTTTGCGACACCCTTTGCTCCTCGGAGGGCTGCTGGGGTCCAGGCCCGGATCAGTGTCTCTCCTGCAAAAACTACAGCAGAGGAGGAACTTGTGTGCCAGAGTGCATGTTTGTGACAGGGTCAGTTTTCATCCATTCATTCATCGGGTCCTGCCGACCCGACCATGCTTATTTTGTCATCTGTGGTCTGTGGAAACATTTTGATTATTTCTATGTGAATGTAGGGAGACACGTGAGTTTGCAGATGCATCAGGAGAATGTATGCCCTGCCACCCTGAGTGTAAAGTCCAGGAGGGAAAGGAGACCTGCATAGGCCCGGTATGAATGCTCACAAAAATGCTCAACTGTCATACGCAGGCTTCCTCTATTGGCACAAGAATAATTACTGAATCTATTTTTTTAAATGTCATCATGACTTCAACTTTTTTTTCCCAGTCCAGTATACTGCATTTGTTAATTACAGTTTTACATTTCTTTTTCTATTTCTATATTTAAGTTATATTCAAACCGAGTCTACCCATTCATTTGTATGTGCAGGGAGCAGACGAGTGTGTAGCGTGTGCCAACCGACAGGACGGCCCACATTGTGTCTCCTCATGTCCGGAGGGTGTGATGGGAGGTGAGGGGGTCATCTTTAAGTACCCGAACAAGCAAGGGCGCTGTGAGCCTTGTCACATCAACTGTACTCAAGGGTAAGGCAAACCTGTGGGACTGTGTGAACTCTCTATGTGTTCTGCATTTAGCTGAAATATGATTGCTCTCTAGGTGCTTTGGTCCAGGAACTGGAGGCTGTATTGGGTCTTCCAGATACATTTCTGGGTAGGATTCTCCTCTCATTCGGCAGCATTCTCATTCATGTTTTACGTTTCCGCAATGTGAAATCTCCATTCTATATTTTTGTGTTTCTAGACAAGCAACCACAGGCATAGTACTGGGAGTTATCGCCATTCTGTTTGCCAGCTTCTCTATTTTCGTGCTGAGCGTTTTGTACCGCAGAGGGCTCGCCATCCGCCGCAAACGAGCTATGAGGAGGTACATGGCCAGTGGAGAGGGGAGTCCTTAGTTTCAGTGAGGTAGTAGCTATGTTCTCCTGATGGGTTTATTATGTGGGATTCCGGCAACTATATTGGATTTATAGTCATTAGTCCGGCACTGCAGATGGATCATAATCAAATTTTGTGTTTGAAACTGTAGTTCATATCTCAACAGAAGTCAAATAAATATACATTACGCACAAAAAGTTCGGGATTTTCCGGAAGAAATTTCAGGATAAACCTGAAGTGCATAAGTGGTGAACTTAATTTGACCTTCTCTAAATCTTTGAATGTACATGTCCAACTTTTCACTGTTTCAGTATTTTTATTCGGTTCTCTATTAAGACGCCGAGCGGTAAAATTCGTAACAGGTGGTTGAGCCATGAATGGACCAGTACATTTGTTGTTTCAACTGGAATTGGGAGTTAAACATGACATGAGAGTCTTCAATAGTCGCTAATTCTCAGTGTGGTACGCTACCTAGTTCATATCTCAACAGAAGCCAAATAAATATACATTATGCACAAAAAGTTAGGGATTTTCCGGAAGAAATTTCACGATAAACCTGAAGTGCATAAGTGGTGAACTTAATTTGACTTTCTCTAAATTTTTGCATGTACATGTCCAACTTTTCACTGTTTCAGGATTTTTCTTCAGTTCTCTTTTGAGACGCCGAGCGGTAAAATTTGTAACAGGTGGTTGAGCCATGAATGGACCAGTACATTTGTTGTTTCAACTGGAATTGGGAGTTAAACATGACATGAGAGTCTTCAATAGTCGCTAATTGTCAGTGTGGTACGCTACCAATTGGGTGACGCGGGCTCCCTCTAGCGGTATGCAAAGAAATAACAGAATTACACAAGTAGGTAACTTTTAAGAAATCTTTAAATAGATCCAGGGGTGCTTCGGTCACATTGTACATGAACACTTCGGCCCACTATGCAATGTAACGTCGGTCATGGTGGAGAGAGCAAGTATTTGATGTGGTGGTACTTGGAGTAAAAATTTAAGAACCACTGCTCTCTTACTGTTGTTCATTTTGACATCATGAGACCAAAATGATGATTGATCAACAGTATCTTGACATTGCCAAGCTTCAAACAGGATGTCCTGAAAAGGGATGCGTGTCAAAAGCAGGTTGCAACAGAGAGACTGGAAGAGTCACAGAAAGGAATAGAATTTGAAATCTTAGGAAATTTTCTTGGAGCAAACACCTGTTGTGAATTTTGCCATAAAGATCCTTGTTAGGGAACATCAAATTGTGCCAAAATTATCAAAACATGAACAGTTTGACGTCAAAGGTTTGGAGAAAATCAAATTAAGTTCAACTGTAAAGGTTATATTTTCTTTGATGATTATCCTGAAATTTCCCCATGAGAGCCAAATATCACAAAAATGTGTAAGTAGTGAACATCTTGTATTTTTATTTGACCATCTTTTTTTTTTTTTTTTTATTATAAACAATTGGAGGATCTCTGGTGGGATTCATTGTGGTCGTCGCCAACTAAGACCTTCTCGGTTTGAAACACACTTTGTTTGCTGTGTGCTCTCAGGGTTTTGAGCCATTGGATCCTGGTGAGAAGGGGCCCAAAGTCCACGCTCGTATCTTGAAGTCCACTGAGCCATAAAGATCCTTGTTAGAGAACATCAAATTGCACCAAAATTATCAAAACATGAACAGTTTGACATGAAAGTTTTGGAGAAAATCAAATTAAGTTCAGCTGTAAAGGTTATGATCATCCTGAAATTTCCCCATGAGAGCCAAATATCACAAAATTTGTGAGTAGTGTACATCTTGTATTTTTATTTGACCATCTTTTTTTTTTCTTTTTATAAACAATTAGAGGATGTCCGGTGGGATTCATTGTGGTCGTCGCCAACTAAGACCTTCTTGGTTTGAAACACACTTTTTTTGCTGTGTGCTCTCAGGGTTTTGAGCCACTGGATCCTGGTGAGAAGGGGCCCAAAGTCCACGCTCGTATCTTGAAGTCCACTGAGTTGCGTAAGATCAAGCTGCTGGGTCACGGCGTGTTTGGATCAGTTCATAAGGTAGTGAAGATTGTGCCACCCCTTGCTACCGATGAAAAGCACACTGAAGTCTTTCTGCATTTCACAGGGCATTTGGATCCCTGAAGGAGACACAGTCAAGCTTCCAGTTGCCATAAAAACGATTCATGATCGCACTGGGCGGCAGACATTCTTTGAAATGACAGATGTGAGAAAGCAAAACACCGTTCATTTCAAAAAGAGAATAGCTGGGCACTGGGCGATAAATTGATTTCAATGATCAAATTAATTTATCAGCAACATTTTTTTTTTAATCAAAAAACTTAACGTTCAGCAATAGTGACGAGTTCTCAATGTCGACCGCAGCACATGATGGTGATGGGAAGCTTGGACCACATCAATGTAGTCCGGATCCTCGGTATCTGTCCCGGCGCCAACCTGCAGCTCATCACCCAACTCAACAACCAAGGCTCCCTGCTGGAGCACGTCAGGAACAACAAGAACAAGCTCAGTCCCCAGAGGCTCCTCAACTGGTGTGTGCAGATCGCGAAGGTAAAAATCAAATGGCCTGACTGAGCAACACTTGCATATGCAAGACGAGACAGGATGGTGTACTCATTATACAATATTCTCCTCCACTCAGGGTATGTATTACCTGGAGGAGAACAGGATGGTCCACAGGAACCTGGCTGCCAGAAATGTGCTGTTGAAGAAAAACTACACTGTCCAAATCTCCGACTACGGCATTGCCGACCTACTGTACCCTGATGACAAAAAGTATTTTTACAATGAAATCAAGGTTCGTATACTGGCTGAAACATTGACTTTCAGTCAGATAAAAATAATTGGATTAAATATGTGTTGTTAACTGAAGACTTGAAATTTGTTTCTAGACACCAATCAAGTGGATGGCTTTGGAGAGCATCCTGTTTCGCAGATACACTCATCAAAGTGATGTCTGGAGTTATGGTGAGTCATGTTTTCATTCCATTTGCTGTACCAATACAATATCGCATATATACTGTTTTACAATAATACTCAACAATATTATAATTCTCATGCACATGTGACTTCTCAATTGTCGCGTTTGCTCTCTAGTTTGTTGCAAACTGTTTCTTCCTTGACTATGGTGTCATGTTTTTGTGGTTCAAAAAAAATAATAACGCGCTAACACATCTTGTATTTGGAACGTCAACACATGATACAACACTACAGTTTTACCGCTGCAGTGCTGTGGTCGACATGCAGTACTCAATCGCTCAGTGTGTGGCAAAGTGTCATCAATTGTCATATTTTTTTTCGGAATCGTCCACTTCAGTCATGTTGAGAGGCATTTTTCAATGAATAGCTTCTTCAAAGATGACACCACAAGCCAATATAAACAGCAAGGCTGACCTGGCTTTTCGATACATTTTGATTAACCAATTTCAGGAAAACACGACCAAATTGTGATAACAATAAGGGACTTGTGACAAGATTCTTCGTGGGTGGGATTAAAGAACAGAGCATGGCCTTACTTTTCACACTTCTGTTCTGCATAGATCATGGAAAAGGCGATATGTTGAATGTTGTTAAGAGCAGCCTTTTGCTGTGCTGTTTTGATGCCACGTTAAATCTGTCTTTCATCGGTAGGCGTAACAATATGGGAGATGATGTCGCACGGAATGGAGCCGTACTCAACCATGCGCCCGCAGGAAGTTCCGGATCTGTTGGAAAAGGGGGAGCGACTATCCCAGCCCCCTATTTGCACAATTGACGTGTACATGGTAATGGTCAAGTGTGAGTTTATGATCTTCAACTATTGTTTCTGCTCATAATTACATCCTACTCAATATACCTTATTCGTAATGGAATTGTATTTGACATTGTGAAATGTGACAACAACCTGACAGGTTGGATGATTGATGAGAACGTCCGTCCCACATTCAAAGAGCTGGCCAATGAATTTACCAGAATGGCGCGAGATCCTCCTCGCTACCTGGTGATCAAGGTGAGACAGCACATCGTCTGTGTCGCGAGATTTCGGAACAGCACGCAGGTGGGCCTGGTCATGTTCTTTGTGTCACTACTTTTATTCGCCGTCAACAGGAGGACTGCAGCCAGCCTGATGGGCCCCCTGATGAGGTCACCCAACGTAGTGCAGACCTAGATGACATGGAGGATCTTGAATTTGAGCTGGAGGACCAGGCGGAGCAAATATCAATCGATGACCTCAACCCGCCCTCCCACTACCTGTCTCCTACGAAGTCGAGGAGCTTCAATGGTCTCTCCAGGCTGGATTCTCACAGAGTAATTCATTCCCATCTCGTTTTAAAATAGGGGACATTGGGAAAGTCACTGTGCATTTGTCTTTGTTATGAACAGACATGTTGAAATACATTTCAGCGGTCCGCAAATGTCATTGAGTAAAATTCTAAATGCACAGTGGCTTTTCGAACATCCTGCACATATTCAAATGTCACTTCCTGTATCTAAATACAACATGTGTCTCTTAAGGTGGTTCTGGGTTCACCAGGTGGTGCTGGTTATCTGCCAATGACATCAGGTGTTGACAACCCCGGACAGGTAACAGCATTTGGTTTTGCGCAAAGTTATTTGTCTTCTACCAGTACACCGGGTAAACCCTCCAATATCGGAGATACTTTGTATTACTGTAGATTAGAGGTGGGTGCCCAAACATGGTCTTCTCCTTTAATTTTTTTTTTGACAAGCTTGAGAAATGGCAACTAAACTAAACTAAACCAAAACGGCACCCATTACAATGCACATGGAAGTGTTACCATCAAACATTGCAACGCTTCAAAACACAAAACACTGGAAGTGTGCCACTAAATGAAATACGTTCATAATCATCCTTAGATTACATAATAAAAGTGATCAAAATGACCTTCTAATATTGCAGTATTCACAATATTTCAGGCTCCGTGGCAGTCACGTTCTCGACTCAACTCTGCTCGCACTGTGTCCGAGAGTTCGGAGGGCGGCGGCACCGCCACCGAACTGGAGATGATCGAGGACACATGTCTGACTGGGAGCCCAAAGCGTGGACGTCAGAGGCAGGACAGCGCCTATATGTCGCAGAGAGACAGCTTGTCTGGTGGGCCGCCTGAGACGCCAACCCCAGAGATGGATGAAGAGGACCAAAACGGTTATGTGCTGCCTGGAGACAGCCCGGAAAGAGGTCATTTTTTTGATGTTTTCATAGAAATAATAGAGGGGACTTTACAAAAACAATAAATTTGTATTTTGATATATCATTTGAAGTGAATGGTTTTGTGTGTGTGCGTGTGTGTGTGTGTGTGTGTGTGTGTGTGTGTGTGTGTGTGTAACTTGGGTACAACACCTCTGAGCCAAGTGAGAAATTATGACAAAGTGAATAACTGTTCCTCTTTCTTCACAGAAACCTTGCTGAGTCCATCTCGAGTCATTCCCAGCGGGATGGGCAAGTCGCACTCGTCCGGGCTCTTGTACAACCTGAACGACGAGGAATACGAGTACATGAACAAGCAGACGCGTCTCTCGCCCCGAATCAACAGCCACCTCAAGGACAATGGCCTGTGTCTGAAGCCCAACAAGAAGCGAGCATCCTCCCTCTCATCGAAGATGATGGCCAGCTCGGGCGATATCACGCCATTCATCAGGAATAATCACAGCTCCAAACAGCTTGATTCTCAAGAGGTTAAATATGAATACATGGATATCAGGTGTAGTGAGAAGGATGATGATCCTCCGGCCCATGACCCTCCTCCTCCTCCTCCTCCTCCTCCTCCTCCTCTTCCTCCTCGCATAACTGTTGGGATGGCAGAAGAAGAAGAGAAGGAGGAAGAAGAGGAGTACGTGGAAGACAGTAACTATCATTACACTAACAGGCAGCCGAAGCTGAGACAAGCCCTTCGGGAGAACAAGGAGCTAAAGATCCAGGATAGGGATGAAGGCAGGGCTTATGAATACGAGGACATGGACTGCTTCACCGCAATGAAGCCTGCAGACGCAGCAGTGTATCAGAACATGCAAACAGGCGGCGAGGGAGAGACAAGTGGCACCACGGCTCGTCAGTTGGGCATTGACCCTTATGTAAAAGTGCGAGCTGGAGTTGATGTCGGAGATCCTGTAAGTGGAGACCGATCCTTTGACAATCCCGACTACTGGCACAGCAGGATGTTCCTCAAGCCCAAAGCAGTGACCACATGAAGAAGGCTCATCCGCTCCCTGCTTATTTCTATTGATGAAGGACTTGACAGAACATTACATCGAAAGCTAAAATGTAGCCCACTTCAACTGAGCGAGAAATATTATTCATGTACAATACTGTATTCAGGATTACCAGTGGGGCATTTACAGATATTTGAGCAAGCACTGAAGAAAAAAAAAAGAACACATAACAAGCTATATCCAGTATTTTTGTTTACAATTTGACATGAACAAAATTGTTTTTCTTTGTATATTTTCTACTTAAAATAAAAAGTTTTTATATGTTGTCTGAGTCGTGTTGACTTAATTTTTAAACTACAAGGCTTACACAGTCCGTCCGCTGCTTAAATAAAGGAACTAAATGAATACAACGGATCTTGGTGTTTCTGTTTTCCAGTGCCAAATACAACTACAGGTAATTGAGTTCCTGCTTTTTATCAGTGACACTAGACTAAAGAATATGAGTCTGCTAATACATACACTTACATTAACGTGGAAAATTAGTATGTTGCTTCTTGAGTATCATATATAAATAAACACACATATATAAAACCTGCGTATGAATGTCGACGAATGATTTTCTCAATTACAGTAATCCATTCATTCATTTTCAGACGTGCCATCCAATGGGTTACATTTGGCAATGGTGAACCCCCAAATGAGACATTTTGGCAACGACGAAACCAATACCTTTACTCAGAACGAACATGGTACGTACTGTATCATAGAATCTGTTACAGTAGTTCGCTTTTCAGGTCAAGTCAGCTTTATTGTCAAATAAGCAAAACTGAACTGTATAAAAAAAATACATAAATATACGGTTATTAACAAATAAATTGTTTACAAACAAACGAAAGTGAAGAAAAAAAAGAAGTTACGTTACATACATGGATGCAGAGAAATGGTAAATGATTTTTTTCAATAAAGATTGCAGGTCATGTTTTCCACTTTCATCAATTTCCTCGGAAATCGCATACCCGAGTTAAGTTTCGTTTTCGAAAGAGATAGTTTTGATTGATGCACTGCTCGACCAACCACATGCGCTGCTCTGACTGCGAATTCACCAATCACCGGTTTGATTTGACTCGGTTACGGTAACTGTGCAATCGTCGAAGTCCATTGTGGCTCGGACTGGCGCTTATGTTTAATATTTTGGAACCAAAATGGCTTCGTCGTATTTAAATGCTGTGGGAGGAACCCTTTCGACGAAAACGAGACCAAGGAAATAGAGTCCACAACATTGTCACGCCTGCCTTATATTCTCAGTTTGATGGAAACCACCGGTCGCTTTCAGGCGGCTTATTACGGCTAGAAATCTAATATTTAATAGACCATTGTCGGGACAACGAGTTGACGTTGACATCAGCCCATAGCAAGGTATGGACATGTTGTACAGGCGAACTTGTATACATGTTTTACAGATGCAGAAGTATTCTGTTTAAAGATATACGCTGTCTCCACATTGAGAAGAGCGGTAGTATTTACTTAACCTCCAAAGTTTGCAGTTTTACCGTTTAGCTGTTGCCTCTGACTTTTGAAGGCTTCAGGTTATCATCACTAGCTTTTATCAGCTGTATCAGCAAAAACGTCAGCATATTTTGGTCCACTTATTGGTTGATTAGAGGTTTTCCAAAAACGATGAACAAAACAAGCCTGGAGTCATCTGTACACATTTACACACTTTTAGTAATCAACATCACGTAATTATATTGCCAGTATTTTTTAAGTTTGCATGACTATATCATGTTATTAGATAAATCTTCAGATCTATCCAGATTTGGCACACCTGAGTTGGGCGCTGTTTTATTACGTTTTAAAATGGCATTGAGTCTTTCTAGATCTGTGACGTACTAGTGGTATCATAACTTACATTCTGTTGGGTAAGGCTGAATGCCCAGGTACCAAATGCGTGAGTCGCCACTATCGTCAAGTGTTTTTGAATGATATGTGTGATTCTGGACATGGCAATTTAAGTCCCACAAATTGAAAATACTTTACTATTTTTGAAGGGCACCTGACAATCCTTGTACCTTTTCCTTTGCCCCCCCAAGATGTCCCAGTGGGAGAGACTGATGCAGCTGCCTGCTGCGTTTAGTCAACAGTTACACGACCTGTATGACAGGGAGGCTCTTCCCATGGATGTCCGCCATTACTTGGCTGCATGGATAGAATCACAGCAGTGGTAAGCTTGGGCAACTTCAAACAGCGCTTTGAATATACTGTACTAATATTTGATAAATTGAGGAAAGGATTCTCACATTGAGACAATGTTTGTGCCATCCTCAAGAAACAAATGTTGTTCATACATCAAAACATCACAACAATTCCCACAACCGGGATGTTGAAAATATGCCCCTTTGTGGCTCTGAGAATTGTTGACATGAGAATTATTACTGCACCACATGCACAGATCTGCATACAAATGGCCAAGGGCAATTTGACAGCTTGGTGCCGAAGCTACAGCCATGACTAAAAATACAAACGAAACTTTTACTTGGTCTCTGTAGACGGCAATGAACATTGAATTCACCCTGTTTGTTATACACTGATTTGTTCTCATATATGCTTCTTTCTAGGCAACGAGCAGCGAGTGACTATGATTTGGCGATGGTATTGTTCCAGGCCCTGTTGGGAAATCTAGACATCCAGTACAGCCGCTTTGTACAAGAGGAGTCCTTCTTAATGCAACACAACATTCGACGCTATAAACAGAATTTTCAGGTCTGGACTGGATGTTTGGAATATGAAGCTAGAATTAATGATTTTATGGAAATAGAGAATTGACAATGGTAGTTTTCAGGTACACATTTCTACGATTTAAAATTATAATAAATGTCTTAATGATGTTATGCTTTTTTTTTTTTTTTTTTTTTTTTTTTTTTCCCCCCCTGAGAGTGATCATTTGTTTATATTGTTTCTGATCTGTGCAACTTCTCACAGAGGTACCAGGAGTACCCATGTGCCTTGGCAAACACAGTGTGTTGGTTCCTGGACAAAGAGAAAGAGATCTTGCAGACTGCGGATCTGGCTGAGCAGGCAAATGTTTTTTTTTTTTTTTTTTGTGACAAAAAAAAAATACTAGGTACCTTCATTCTAACATGATTTAATGTCTAATATTACATATTTATACACAAAGTATGGTAGTTTTGAGATAGTTTCTCCATGGGAACACATTTATTTTCCTTGAACATTTTATTTGAAATCAAGTGGTCCAAATCATATAACTTTTGCTACATTTGATTCCACTGTTCCGGAATACAGTCGACGTTTAAATACTTTGTTCTACTGTCTCTTATCAGGTGCGGGTTTTGCAAGTAGAACAAGGAGGCTTTGAGACCAGCACTCAGCGTGACCTTGACCGGAGAATGGCCAGCCTTAAAAATGAAGTGCAGGTGTTGATATTGTTGATTTAGTTTTCAACATGTGGATGAAATATATGACAGGTCTTTCAGTGTTTTTTTTTTTTTTTTTAAATGTTTGGTGGCTGACAGTGTATGGAACATACAATGATGTGTCTGGAGGAGCAGCAAGATGAGTTTGATTTTAAATACCAGACGTACTTGTTAGAAGGTAAGCAAAGAGCACTGTCCTACTAAATTCGAAAGTTCTTTGAGGATGAGTCACATTCTGTTCTTTTTCTGTTTTGTTGATCTTGCGTGGAAACCGTGTGATCCCACTGTGGAAACGCCACCACAGCAGACAACTCTGCAAACCCACAACAAGACAGATTTCAGTTACTTATCAACAAACTCAACAATAGCAGGAAGGTTAGAGACAGTGGATACACAAAACGAAATCAGTGTGTCCCTAGTCGTATTATCTCCTTTCTCATTTTGTCTTTTGGATCCAGACAGCGCTGTTTGACCTGAATAAGCTCCTGGACAGAGCTGAGGACCTTATAAATGTCTTGGTGAACAAAGAGATGTTGCAATGGCAGAGGAGACAGCAAAAATCCTGCATTGGAGCTCCAGACAGAGTTTGTCTCGATCAGCTTGAAAAATGGTATGCTGCATTGTGCGGATAAACACGGCATTTTGGTTCAGATTTATTTAAAATAATGTCGATTGAAATCGGAAAGTCCAGATTATTTTTATCTTGTGACCAGGCTTTACACTGGCACTTTTTGTTGGTTATATCTGATACATACAGAAACGTAAGTTAACGCAAGTTAAATATGAAAAGTGTAACGTGCTCACAAGATATTAATGGTCATCTCACTTGAGAAATTGCTCTCACTAAAAATGAACCTGTTAGACAGAAGCCCACAGAGCCCATTTGGCTGTGACTCGTGATTTTATTTATTTTTTCTCCTGTTTGACACTTGTGCGGACATTTGCTCCCCTTGTAGGTTTACCTGTGTTGCAGAATGTCTCTTCCAAGTGCGTGAGTTCCTCAGTAAGCTGGAGGAGCTGGTTGGAAAGATAAGCTATGACAACGACCCCGTGAAGGCTCAGAAACCTTTTCTGCAAAGGAGGACCGGAAAATTCCTTACAGATTTGCTCAAGAGGTATCAGCTTTACTCACCGTTTGCGCTACGTTTCTCCCCGATCATTTCCTTTTTTAAAAATGCTCATATTATTGTTTTTGTCGTCATTTCTCAAAGTTCATTCGTGGTTGAGACTCAGCCGTCCATGCCTCAGGGGAAAGGCCCCCTGGTTCTCCGCACAGGTGTTCAGTTCTCTGTTAAAACCAGGTCAGTGTCTCTGGTTTTCCACAAAAGTATACAGTTTTGTGTTAAGACCAGGTCAGTTTCCATGTCTGGCAAATGCTATGTTAATCAACTGCATTAGTGACAGACCGATTATCGGTCGGGATGATAATTGGAGCCGATATTTGGCATTTTGGCGCATCCCCGTCGGCCATTTTTTAAATCCAACGGCCGATAAATGCTGAATTAAAAATTGGGTTCTTTTGAGATGTTAAGTTCTCTGCTAGCACCTCACACGGACGACCTGCTGGCCAGTCGATGTGTTGAGCATGGGCTTTTTTTGTTTTTGCACTTAAAATAATGATAATAATGAGTGAGAAGTGAAAAATTAAATTTCAATTGCATTGACATTTGGTAAATCTCCACTATTTTAGAAAAGTTGAGGCAGCTAACACTTATTTGATGTTTTCATTGAACGTTATTGCTTAACTTGTAAGCTCCATACCCTTGTTAGAATTTTTCAGCAAAGATGACTGGAAAAAAAAAAAACAAAAAACTTCTAACGTGTTGCAAATCCAAAAAGCTGGTGATTAAACGTGTCCTTAAAGAGCTTTTAAATTAAGTCAATTGTTTTCACTT